AGAGCAGAGATCTTTGCAGAAATTCTCAATTATATCTATAGTTCTAAAATTGTCCGTGTTAGATCAGATTTACTTGATGAGTTAATTAAATCAGGGCAATTATTAGGAGTTAAATTTATAGCAGAGCTTGGTGTCCCATTGTCACAGGTTAAAAGCATCTCAGGTACAGTTCAGGATGGTAATGCAGAAACCTTAACTCCTGGTTCTAATGACAAAAACCTTGAAATACAAAAATCAAAAGATGAAGCTCAAGAAAATGGGACTACTATAATGCCTATTATAACAGAGTCTTTTTCCTTATCTGCTGAAGATTATGAAACAAAAAAGATCATTGTTACTGATTCAGATGATGATGATGATGATGTCATATTCTGCTCTGAGATTCTGCCTGCAAAAGAGACTTTGCCGAATAACAATGCACAGGTCCCGCCTAACCCAGGCTCTGTTGCTATTTCTGATGTTGCACCTTGTGCTAGCAATAACTCTCCCCCTTTAGCAAATATCACACCAACTCAGAAACTTCCTACTTCTGTGAATCAGGCAACTCTGAGCCAAACGCAAGGAAGCGAAAAAGTGCTTGTGTCTTCAGCCCCAGCACATTTGACTCCCAACATTATTTTGCTAAATCAGACACCACTTACTACACCACCAAATGTCAGTTCTTCACTTCCAAACCATATGTCTCCTTCAATCAATATACTTGTGCAGAATCAGCAGCCACCAAACAGTGCTGTTTTAACAGGAAATGAGGCCAATGAAGAGGAGGAAGAAGAAATTATAGATGATGATGATGACACTATTAGCTCGAGTCCAGACTCAGCAGTCAGTAATACATCTTTGGTCCCTCAGGCTGATATCCCCCAAAATACCACTTTCGATGGATCATTGATACAGAAGATGCCAATTCCTACACTTCTGCAAGAACCGCTTTCTAATTCTTTAAAAATTTCAGATATAATTACTAGAAACACTAATGATCCAGGTTTAGGATCAAAACATCTAATGGAGGGTCAGAAGATCATTACATTAGATACAGCTACTGAAATTGAAGGCTTGTCAACTGGTTGCAAGGTTTATGCAAATATTGGTGAAGATACTTATGACATAGTGATTCCTGTCAAAGATGACCCTGATGAAGGGGAGGCCAGACTTGAGAATGACATACCAAAAACATCTGGCAGTGAGACAGCAAACAAGCGTATGAAAGTAAAACACGATGATCATTATGAGTTAATAGTAGATGGAAGGGTCTATTATATCTGTATTGTGTGCAAAAGGTCATATGTCTGTCTGACTAGCTTGCGGAGACATTTTAACATTCATTCTTGGGAGAAGAAGTATCCATGCCGCTACTGTGAGAAGGTATTTCCTCTTGCAGAATATCGCACAAAGCATGAAATTCATCACACAGGGGAACGAAGGTATCAGTGTTTGGCCTGTGGCAAATCTTTCATCAACTATCAGTTTATGTCTTCGCACATAAAGTCAGTACATAGTCAAGATCCTTCTGGAGACGCCAAGCTTTATCGTTTACATCCATGCAGGTCATTACAGATCAGACAATATGCATACCTTTCTGATAGGTCAAGCACTATGCCTGTAATGAAGGATGATGGTGTTGGGTATAAGGTTGATGCTGGGAAAGAACCTCCAGTAGGGACCACATCTACTCAGAACAAGCCAATGACCTGGGATGATATTTTTAATCAGCAGGAAAACGATTCAATTTTTAAACAGAATGTAACAGATGGCAGTACTGAGTTTGAATTTATAATACCAGAATCTTATTGAACTCCTTTAAGATAACAGAAAGTTTTGCTTTAGATTAGGGGCAGTGGTTTCAGAAGACTGGTGAAACAAATTAAGGTGAAAAGTTAATTTGATCTGCCATGTCATCTGAAGGCAGTCTAGTTGGATTATTTGCTAATGCTTTTTAGAAGCACATTTTTCTGAAAGTTTGAGTAGAGATTAAGTTTGTCCCCACCTAAGTATCTTTGTTCATATAGTTAGCATTCAGCTCATTTAAAAGAGGCGGGGAAAACAACAAAACAAAGAAAAAGCTTGGAGAGATAGTTTTCTGAATAGAATTTGAAGCAGTCTGAATGTTCTTTGAAAATAACTGGAGTTACTAGCATACCCTAGTATCTTACAACTTTCCTCTTCCAGGTTAGCACTTTACTGCTGAATTCTCAATTTTGTTAACATTGAGACTATAAATGTGTGTTGTGTCTTGTATATGGCATAAAAAGTAAACAAGAACTTCTAAAGTTGTTCTGGAAAATTTCAGAATAACTCTCCACTTGGTTGTGTATTCTGCTAGTCAAAATGGATAGCACTCTCCACCCCCTATATCCACACAAACCCACGAAAATGGCCATACAGACCTAGCTCTCATCTGAAGAATAAATTAGTTTTAGCTAATTAGAATTGAGTCTTGCTCTTATTGCCACCATCTGGAAAAGACTGTAGTGGCTGGACCACTATATGTCTTTGCAGTGTAGCTTCAGGGTGGGGGACACTGATGGAGAAACATCTCCATAATGCAGACAGGAAGAGATGAAAAATTCTGTTGCATTTATTTTGACTTCTGTACTCTTACATGACAGAGACAGTGGAATTGAATAGAGATTTCCTTTTTGCTCACTATAGTTAAAATATTCCTGTGAACAATTTCAAATTTTGAGCCTGAAAGCTACCAAATGAATATTTAAATAGGTATAAATCTTTATAAAGGGTAGATTCCAAAAAAAGAGATTGCTCCTACATATTTTGGGTGGGAGACTACTGGCATTTATTTTTAAATGTTCATATTACTTAGAATCTCCAGTAGGAAATTTTCATTTGACATAGTTGAATCAGTGACCTAGTATTTTCCTTTCAGCAAGACCATTTAGGTTTTACCCCCTCTAAAATCAGCTCCATTCCATTTGCAAATTGCTGCAATATTATAGCACTCTGAAAGTACACACGAACTGTATAGGCTTGTTGATTCACATTTAGCTGGAGAACAATAAATATCATCTTTCTTCCTTTTAAAGTGGCACATATATAAACACTTGGGAAATAAAATCGAAACTTAAAATTGTGCTAGTACTGAAAGTGAGCGGATTGGAACAAATATATAGCCTAGCATTTATAACAGAATTGTTAAGCTGTAAATGATGTTTTTGCAAAGGAAAATAATTAATAGATACTGAAAAAGATTGTGCATATAGTTATAGTCATTTGTAACTTTAAGTATTAACATAGGTGTTTTCTTTGTCCTAGTCATGTATTTTTAAAAATAGCCTATTTCTTGACTTTGAACCTAAAGCTTTAATCATAATTTCTTACGCATATGTTTTTCTTCTGATGGTAAGCTACATTTGTAGATAATGGTTTCAGTGCTTCTTGAGTTGGCAACTGAGAGTTCAGGCATCAGTATTTGCAGTAATATAAGGAGAAAGAAAAAAAATAATCCTTTGCTTACCAAGGGGTAGAGTGATGTGCATCTGTTTTCTCTTCTGTGAGTCCAAGTGTTCAAACCATTTTGTAAACTAACCCTTGGAAATTTTGAAATTAGCTTATGACTTAAGACTCTGTGATCTCTGGACTCACAATAGCTATTTCCTTTATGTGTAGATATTGAGAACATTACTCTGACTGTAGGTTGCACTCTGAAATGTTTTCAGTGGAGATTTGTTTGAGTTTTCATTAATACTGTTTCACCATTTAAACATAATTACTTCTACAAGTGTGAACGATCTGATGCCAGCAGAGCTTCCAGACCTTTCAGACTTAACTGCTAGATAAATTAGTTTGTCATGATAAAATTTGGTAGTTTCTTCTAGCCTATATGACAAACTGGAAATTAGTTTCTTAAGGGAAAACTATCCATTCAATAATAAGAATATAATCATTGGCTGCTGCTGTGCTATATGTAAATTCTGAATATTTAAACTCTGCCTACTGAAGGTATTTTCTAGGTTTTTTTTTTTTTTTAAGGGGAAATGCAAAATTAACCTTAAATTGTATTTTTGCCAGATGACTTGCATGTGTCTCAGGGTCTTCAGTTTTCTTAGGACAAGTTTCCATATCCAAACTCCTTTGGGGCTCAAACCCTTCACTCTCAGTATTTATTGGGTTGGAAATCTATAGCAAGACTGTTTAAAATTTATCATGAGGTTCTTATATTTTATATTTAGCTTTCTGGCTGTTGAACTTCCTTTTCCTTTCAGGTTGGCTTCAAATTTGCTCCTATGCTAAATTACCTGTAAATATTCTGGAGAGGACCTGTTTGAAATAGTAATTTGTTGAATGACAAAATGAAAATGGTCAAACTAAGCAAAACTTTTTAAAACGCCACAGCAATCTTGCAAGACTAACTTTAAAATATGTTTTAAGTGATCATTATGATTTTGGTGGTAAAGGTCCTCCACATACAGCCACACTAAGGAACGGATGCTACATTTTTTTCCATTGTACCAAAAAGCAAACAAATGGGCAAATTGATCAAGGTATTTTGTATTCTAAGCATGCATAATCTAAATCTAAAGAGTCAACTGCTAATTCAACAATACTGGCTTCCTCAGCTCTGTCAGTCATATGAAACTGTTCATTTTCCCCAATACTGTAATGTTCATACTTGTACAGTCTTCCCTGTCATGACTTTTAAGTTCTCCTTTTCAAAAACCGTTAACTGCTATAGTTCTTAGAGCTTCTTATGGCAAAAATAAAAATGTTTTAATTCTCATTTTTGAGTGTATTTTTTATAAGATTATCATCTTCCAGAAACTGTATAGTCTCTTATATTCTATTGCTTTTCAATTGTGGCAGGATATTGGAGCTGTATTTCTGATGCCAGCATGACAGAATTTCCCATTAGGTTTTGTATATAGTCGACCATGTCCCATTGTATCTTGACCCATAATAGATGAAAGTGAGTGAGCTGCTGTCAGTTGCTTGAGGGAGTTTGCGAAACTTTTGTAGATGCCAAGAGAACACGTTTAAGTGGATAAGGAGGATGATAGTTTTATTAATTTGAAACATCACAAAAGCATTCTGGGTTTCAAACGTGGCAGTGATACAGATTTTAAGCAACATCCAGTTTATACAGATTCTGGATTAAATATGTTTCATGCCCAGTTTAATACTTTAAAGCAGAATTAGGAATAAAGCAGTAAATATTACAAAAATGCAGTCAAGGTACATATTGGAAATACAAATTCCTTCATTACAGCAAATGTTTTGCAAAAAAGTAAAGCAGCAAATATTAATTTTTTCTGTGATAACATGCACTTTATATAGTTCAATGTAATAGAAAAAGAAGCTGCTAAAATTAAGTGTTACAAAATCTATACTGTTTCAAGTTATTTTGTAAAGTAAGAAAAATACATAGAAATGAGTCATAGAATCTTAACACTTTAAGAAATGTGATCAATGGATATACTGTGTAATGGTGCCTTTTTAAAAATAAAATACTCAAGACACATTGACTAAAGCAAAAGGTAAAATGTAAATGCAAAAAAATTTCATTGAGAATACAAGTTGATATTTGTATAGTGAGTCAGTTGGTTTTCAGTCCCTATTTGAAATCCAGTAGAATTTTAATATACTCAAAACTTTAGAAAATAACAGTAATTTGTATAATGCAAAAGGATGATAGTTTTTTTTTAGGATTTGAGATCTGAATGAAACAACATTCATAATGCTGAAAGTTAAACTCAGTGTTCTGCAAACATTTACTGTGAACAATGAATGCACTTCTCGTGCCTTGATTCTTGATGGCTGGGTGGCTTCAAGGTAAATGGGAGCACCAGCATTTGTCTGCTACCTCTAATCCATCAAGTTGGGAGGTAGCAAAATTGGCTGAAAATTTTTCCAGTATGCATTCTGTGTTTGCAGAACTGCTTAATTAGATACCCTCCATAGCCCCTGTATTTTTAAAGTATGCAAGTGTAGGATTATCAGTCTTTAAATCAGTCGGTTCTCAGGCTAACTTAGTGCAGTGAAAGTGTTTGATCTGAAGTGAAGGCATGGATGCCAAAGTGTTTTAAATTCATCTGGTCGATGGTTTAAAGCTATGTGTAATTAAAAGAACTGTACAAATGCCACAATGTGCCAGATGGATTTTAAGTCTACAGTAACACTAAGAATTTATCAAGTTGTCTACATTTGAGGTTTTGCAGACTTCAAGCGGCATCGTAACACTTCCATAACCTTGAATTGGACACTGTCATGATTGGTCTCAACAGAAAAAAAGGGACCAGTAAGAGCAGTGGCATTAAAATACAATGATTCTTTTGGAGTGGGGTGCAGGATACGTGCGACTTGCTGGGGTTGAAGCACAGTATTTGAAGATTAAATAGTCATAAAGATTAGTAACAATTCATATCACACCCCAAGAACCTCATCTAGCATTTTTTTTAACTCTGAATTTTAACTGTAAGATCTATATCTCCTGTAGCAAGTGTATTTTGTAATAATGCAACATGTAATAGAACCACTGTCTTGTAAGTTATCAGATTCCTTTAAAACATCTCACATGTTGCTCTGCGTATTCAGTACTTCCTGAATGCTCAGTCCTGTTCCTCACTACTCAAGATGAGGGAATATTGCACTTTTCCCTTTAGGAGGTACCAATGACAAAAGCTGAGCTAAATGATCACAACAACCATTTGTACAATACTCAAGAAAGGAATAAAAGGTACGGGAAGCTTTTTTCACTGTCCAGACACAGCAAACAAAATCTTAGCCAGAACTCTCTGTACTGGAACTACTGTATAGCCCCATCAGCTGGGAAATTTTTCTTAGGGACTGTAGTGGTAGGGAAAGATAGGGCCTATAAGCCAGGTGCTTCAACCATGGGGCTCGGGTGGCAATCTGCCAGGGGCTTGAAAACAACACTTCATTCCCCTGAAGTGAAATAGATGGCAACCACTCTTCTGCAGACTACAGAGGTGGAGCCAGTGGGTAATGCAGGTCTAAACATGCAAAGCTTGCTGGCCTGGCTCCCCAGCCTTGCTTAGTGTGAACTGCCCTTATCAGGAGCAAGCGCTGGGCTCTGCCTAGCCACCTCTGCTCTGCACTGATAACAAATGAGCTTCACCCTATCTTTCCCTAGCCTGGCAGACCATTGTAAAACTTTAAATTAGGCATGAGAGTCACACTTTAAAATTTGCACCCTATACACTTCCACTAAAGCAGAAATACAAAAGCCACAATAATCTTAGTAGCCAGTAGCCATTTCTCTTTAGGGACTGTAAGGTGGTGGCTTTTCAAAAGGTGGATAGTACGGCGGAGAATAACGGGGTGGGGCACTTGAGGACCACATGTAGCTGGGCGAGGGAGAGGCAGACTGGGGTTCATCAGAAAGTCCAGAGGGAGGGGAGGACGGAAAGACACTGGAATGCTGTGTGATACAAACAAAACAATTTAGGCGGTGAGTTTGCAATTCCCCTGGTAGTCATTACAATTTCAAACAATATGGAACACACTTGTTTCTCTTTGGAACAACAAAGAGCTCCTAAACCATACTTAGTTGATGGGAGGCATGAAAGAGGTGGCCTCACATTCTCTCAGTCAGGCATGCTGGAGACCTCATGCACAGCTACCTTGCAGTCATTCTCTCCTTACCCTTAAGCCCTGTATGCGGTCAGTTGCCAAATTATGTTGCTTCTACTTCTGTGAAGTTCCTTGAATCCATCACCCCCTTTTCCACATTTCTAAGTCAAGTCTTCAATTCCTCTCCCCTAAGCTAAGGTGACAGCATCCCAACTACCCTTCATTAAAGATAGTTTGGATCTTAAGGACATTTTAATGGGGTTAAGCTATTGATACTGGGTAAGTCTTTGCTCCAACAATACATCACAGGGAGGTAGTGTAGTGGTCAGGAGCTCATCTCATAGAAAAAAAAACAAACAACTGAGGTCAGAGGGGTTAAATAGCTTGCATGGATCTGGAGTCCTGATTCTTAAGTTCAACGTTTCTATTTCACCTTAACTGCTACCCCATCACCCCAAATGCAGGGTAGGTTGGAGAGCAAAGAGAAACAAGGCAAAGAGGTGGGAATACAAATGACGAGAATGAGGAGCGATTTGTTAAGTTGCAGAGATACTGAGGATTCAGTTTTAGTCTGTGTTGTCTATCTTTGGTAGTCTTTGGGAAGGGAGGGAATGTGGATTAAAAAAGAAAAAAACTCAGCGGATTGGCACGTGTTCGGAATCACTTGCCCCTTCTCTTTCCCTGCCCATGCACACCCTCCACACTAATTTTCCTGCTTAAGGAGAGTCGGCATGTTTTGTTCATTGCTGTATCCTTAGAGTTTAGAATAATGCAGTACATGGCAAGTAGTAGATACCATGTTGAGTGATTAATATAATTTCAGCAGTATATAAGATGGGCTTGGTATGTTTTTTAATTGAAATCTATTTGCAAGGAATGCAGTCACAAGCTGTGGGTACTGTTTTCTTGCTCTAGTGATGGAGCAGGGCTGAAGTGAGGCCTGATGGCTGGAGGGGACTTAGAGCAAACAAAAGTCAGCAAACTGGGCTGGAGAACTGCAATTGTTTTGTCATGCCTTAGCTCTAGAAGGAGTTAGTAAACGGGGGAGAAAGAGAGAAGAAAGAAAAAGGAAGGAAGGAAGGAAGAAGGAGGAAGGGAGGGAGGGAGGAAGGAAGGAAATAAAGAGAAAGAAAGAAAGAAAAAGAAACACCAGAATTTCTCAAGAGTTCAAGTACTATTTGGGGGAACCATAGATTTTACTTTGTTGGGTTGGTGTGAGGTGTGGAATCACCTTACAGCAAGTGATATGGTCATTGTTCTTGGTTCCTTCTAGCCAAATCAACACCTGGTTAATGAGTGGGGACTCGCCTGATTACAGAAAGCCATTTAGCCTTTGGTCTTGGCTCTTGAGAGTTGGACCAAATCTCAAGGCTAATGAGTAGGGGCTGGCCAGACCAAGAGAAACCACTTGGGGGTCTGACTAAGCCTCATGAGGCATGATGCAATCTATCATGGCCACAGATTGAGGTTGATAAGAGCTCTGGACATGGAGGCTTAGGTGGAACTTCCTGGTTGATGATCATGCATGAGAGAGAATAGTGTGTCCCTCCTTAGGATGTGGAAGCTCCATGCTGTGACTGCTCCCAGACCTCACCCTATGTGTATTTTGTTGTATCCTTTTTGGTTGTCATGAATCTGTGCTAAGTATGGTATAATCTCAGTGAAGTCTGGAGTCGTTCCAGTGAATTATAGGACCCAAAGAAGTAGTGGGAGCTCTGGTGGCATAGTGCCTGAGGCATTTGACTGCTAACCAGAAGGCTTGCAGTTTAAACCCACTCCTTGGAAGGAAGATTGGGCAACCTACTTCTATAGAGATACCGCCTCGGAAACCCAAGAAGGGGTTGCTATGTGTTGGAAATGACTCGATGACAGTGAGTTTTTTTTTTTTTTTTTTGTTTGGAAAGGAGTAGTGAGGGCCAGCTGGTCTGAAGTGGAGGGAATAATATGGATTCCTGAGCTTGTAGCCAGTACCTGTTGACCTAGCTTTGGGTGGCTAGGGAGGAGAGAGAAAAGGGTGGAATGAGCAACTGGGTCTGAAATAGAGAAGAAAAGCTGAGATTTCCAAAGGATGCACGTGGCGTGTTGAGTAGGATTTGCTATCTATCATATAATTTGGTCAGAAGTGGGTGATCATAGTCTCCCTGGACTAGTTGACATAGCTGGCTAAAGAGTCTGAATAGATTGTGCCTTTTTTTTTTTTTTTCCAGGCCTGGAACAATCTAGACTCAGCTTTGACATGAGGTGTCTGGAGCCTGATGTCACTTGGTTGATTGTCCTTTTCCCCAGTTGTGACCTCTACCTTCCTGGAGAAGTGATGTCCAGGTCTAGGTCCTGCTTGACATACTGGGATCTCTGTCCTAACATATAAAGTTAGGACTGAGCAGAGATTGCAGCTGCCACCTTCCCCCCTCCATCCCCACCTCACCCCACCCCTTATTTCTCCTAAGTGAAGGAATGACAAGTGTCATCAAACCTGGAGAGCCTTTAAAGGCAAAATAACTTCAGACAGTAGACTCAAGACAAACCAAATTCCTTCCCAAAACTTCAACATTTCTCCCTCCAAGTATAGCAATGTCCTAGCTTTCTACTGCACGCCCTCAAACTATTTCTCCTCTTCTCCCTCCTATTCTGTTTCTTTCCTTGACTAAGAACACTCTCTCTGTAACCAGAGAGGACAGCAAAAACTCATCAGGGACAAGAATCTCTGTGCTAGAGCCATTCTGAATCCTACTACGGGAATAGTGAGAGGCAGAAGGGGATCTCAGTCGCAGGACAGAACTAGTGTCCTACAGTGGAGTGAAAGGCCATTCTGTTCCAAGAGACATTAAAAGGTTTCTGTGGGCAGCAGCTGGCATGGGTGGCAGTTGTACACTTTGATAATAAAAGGGGGTGGTACAACGGCTTTTGGGTTTTCACTTCTCAGTTTCATGTTTAGGAAGTATTGTGTGTGGGGGGGGAAAGGATGGGATGATTCTCACTTCCCCTTGGGGATTCTGGGAGTCTTAAGGATAAAAACAAAGGGCTCCTGGCAGAGCTAGAGAGCTAACTGGCTGTAGTCCATACATCCTAGGGTGAGGTATAGCAATAAATAAATAAAATGAGGGAAGCCCACAGTCCTAGCATGGAGTTTCCTAGCAACAGGCAGGCATCTTGGGAGAAATTTGGCTTTGTTGCAGCTGGGGAGCTGGCCTGGTGCATTTCGGTTCCTGCCTGACAGTCTGACTTTACTAATGGAATGGGCAGCTCAGGAAACCAGAGCTTTGAATCCTCCTTGTGCACCACAAAGCATGTAAAGCATCTAGATACCCTGCTACTGAGGGCTAGGTGGCCTAGTTTCCTGGGCTGCTTTTTGGAGGCTGGGGGTGGAGGCACAGGCTGATGGTGCTGAAGAGGAACACTGCTCACTCAGGGACATAGACAGTTCTCCTTGCCCACCTTAGCCAGACTTCTCCCTACCTGATGACTGACCACAAGGACCAATGTGAGTTTCTGTCAGGACCGGAAATCTCTCTTCAGGAGTACGGGGAACAGTGATTCTGAAAATGGATATCAGTGGGAGCTAGTGTATCCCAAGAGTAAAATCCAGGTTCTTATGTTTCTTTGTATTCCGTTTCTGTTCTATGCCAGGAAGTAAAGACTGGGGAGATGGAGAGAAGAATGGATGAAAGGAAGAGGAAGACAGAAACAAGGGCAAGGAGGAGAAGAAGGGAAAAACTTGGATGGAAAGGAAAGAAAAGGTTTAGTGGCAACAGCAACTGCCTTTTAAGACTCTAGGCAACCTATGCCATAAACTTCCTCCCCCAGGATTGAAACAATCCTTTAATTAAATGAGTCCAATTAAATATGGGTCATATTTAGTGGCTAAGATGAAACATACCCTCGTGTGATTTAATAAAAGCATAAACAGAGGTGCTTGCATTTTGCATAGTCTAAGATTTTTGTTTTAAGCTTAAAGTTGGCAGTTCACCAAATGGACAGGAAAGAGACCAATTTATGGCTAGAGTGATGTAGGGGCACTGGCCTAGGATGCCAGACTGGGAAGTATGCCTGGGATTCTTAAGGGTTTTACATAAAGCTATTGCTGGGTTTAATTTCTCATAAGAAGTGGGAATGGATGCTTTGTAGCCTATGGAATTTGTACTACTCGGCTGAAGCTGAAGGCATGAAGTAGGGAGGGGGATGAATTCAAAGGGCAAAAGATGTCAGTGTTGGAGAGACAACAGAAGAGACAAAGGGAGTCTCAGCTTATATCCTTCCTGCTTTGGAAAGTAGGTTATGGAGAGTTCATTAGAAGCAAGAATAACTTGGGGTCCAATGTTTAGCAGAGTCCTGTTTCTTCAAGCTCAGCACTCGCAGCTTCTCAGGGTCTTCTGGCCATACTCAAGTCCTTGCTCGTGTCTGACCACAGAAATGGTTCCTAAGCTTTCTAATAGGCCAGTTACCTAACAGGGACATTTGAGAGGTTAAACAAAACCTTGTACATCTTTTTCCTCTTCCTTCTCTCAGCCTTGGTAAGAATGAAACAGGGGTCTTCAAACCAAAGTCACATTAATAGTCTTATTTGGAAATTACCGAAATGGAGAAGTCATCCAGAAGGAAGTCTAGAAAAGACCATTTTCTGGGTGTAACTGGGCCATTTTACAATCTGAGAAGATCATGAAGGAACCATGACTTTTTTTATTTCTTTGGCAAGTTTGTGATTCTGTGGTTTTATTGTCAGAGGTGGTGGGTGTTCTGCTGACTGCTTTTTATCCATCTGGGCACATTAGCAGATGTCCCTCTGGCCTTTTGGCTTTCTCTGGTTAAAGACTAGTATTCCGTCCTATGAAACTACAAGGGAATGGAACCTGGTGAACAAAAGCTCAACTCAAATACTAAAACAAAACCCCATGTATGTTCTAGAGGAAATGACTCATTTGAAAATATACTCCCCAATACCTATGTAATACAACTATAGTCTCTAAACAGGAATTTCAAAAGACAGCTTGAGCCTAGGGAAAGAACCAGGAGAGATATAAGAAGCATCCAAGCAAAGGATCCCTGGTAGCACAGTGGTTAAGAGCTTGGCCGCTCACTGAAAGAAGTGTCCAAGCAGCCCCTGGATTGGGAAGGCATGTGTGGTAGTTGAAGGCATGTTGGAA